ATTGTGTGTAATAGATCCAACAATGTTCAGTCAGGTCATCTGGACAGTTCTTTTTTCGTTGAGACAAAAAAAGAACTGTCCAGATGACCTGACTGAACATTGTTGGATTACTTTACCTGGATTATTGAGCATGAACTTTGTTGTGTGTAATAGAATTTAAAAAAGGGTTTAGTGTTCTCCAGGAAATTAACTAGTTTAGAGCAGCAAGTTGATTTATTTGTTGCGTTTCTGAAATAGCAATACAAATAACTATTAACTTATTACTATAGGCAAGACAAACATATTGTGATAATTAAGGTGGCAAAGGACTATATTCAATAATAAAGCTATATAAAGTATATTATACATATTATATAAAGTAAACAAACATCTCACATGAGGCACTCGGAGAGCATGACTTGGCTTATAGCTTTAACAGCACACTACATGAAACTTAACTTCTGCATGACTAAAATATACATTAACACGATGTTAACATCCAGACTAAATGATATAACATCATTAGACTCACCTTCTTTCATCTAAACACAGCAGGAAACCAGGAAACCAACAACAGATGCTCAAAAACAAAAATATATCCGTGTTGGGAGAGAAAACGACTTTACTGCTCGCAGCAGTGAACTTTACACAGAACAGTGCATCAGATCAGCCACGGTGCGTTCAAAAACGTAGGATTCATGAAATTCAAAAAGAAAAGCTACAGTCAAAGAGGAATTAGCTCAGCAAACAAACTAACCACATATAAACAATGTGGGCTTTCTAACTAGAATTGCATAAAAATCATTACAAAAAAATAAAATAATAATAATAAAATAAATTCAATTCCACTTAGGGGGCCCCCTAGTGGCCTGGGGGCCCTAAGCAGCCGCTTATGATGCTTAGGCCACCGGCAGGCTCTGAATCCATCTCTTCTCTGGTACGAAAGGAAGCTGTCGATATACATTCCTTCAAGGCATGATAGGCCTTTAAATATGAAGGTTTTATCCCACAAAGCTAGTTCCCAGTCATGCTACGAGACAGGTATGACAATGTTCACAGAAAAAGGCCTGTCGAGAAAGCAACGCTGCAGGTGACATGTGACACACACACATGGATGTTTTGGTGCTGGATTGCAGGTTGTCACGGAAACGCCTCTCCGATGTGTTTCAGGTTTCATGTTGACTCAGAAACGTGTCAGCATTCCACACCACCCCCTCAAGGCTTGTCAGTGTTTCCCTGGCCGAGTGTCAAATCACTGAGTAAGAATATTCATTTTCCAAATGCATCGCTCACCAATAAATGCTAGACCTCTTCTTCTTTTATGACAATAAAACCATGCCTTTCAACAGTAGGAAGCAGTCAGGGTGTGAAGCAGCCTATTAACGCACAACAAGAAATTAAAGTGTGTGCATTTTTCCTGTAAATGTCCACTTAAAGCCAGTCAGTAAAAATTAAAAGAAGTGCAATCACTTTAAGACTTGGTGGTTCCTTGTTTTGTCAGAATTTTCCAGTAGTTGCACATTTCTTTACTTGAAAATATCTAAAAATACTTGCCATTAAGACCTAGGACATATACTTTGAAAACAAACTGTCCAGTGTGTTTTGGCTTTGTTTTGGTCTTTGCTTTTGTTTTGGTGTATGCAGTTAACCCCGGCCGGGGTCAAAGTGCCCGATCAGCCTCCATCTGCCTCCTGACCATCGCCTCAGCTCCTGTCTACTCATACATGCTGTGATGAAATTAACGAATGTTCAAGTGTGTAATAATGCGACGCTCAGCTCCCACTGCAACATCTGTAGTGACGTGTTACTATGGCAACAAGACAGGAAATTGACTTAACTCAGTCAAGTTGTCTAATTTAGAATAGCTCAGCTGGAGAAATGGATGTCATTCGAACAGAACGAGCAAATTGGCAGATAACGCAGACTAGAATCTATTAGAGCGAAATGCAGCGTTACGCAGTAATCAACTTGTCGAATTCGCAAAAAGCAGCATTTAATTTAATGATTTCTTCAAATTAGTGCTGCTGACTTCATTACCTGTAAGGATGTTATCCGCGTCAAGCTCCATGTTCACTTTATTCTTCTCTCCAATGTGTCCCATGATCCATCTGGAGCGGCAGTACTGCTGGGTGGCGAGCAGCCAACGCAGCGACTCTGGGAAAATCCTGTCAAACAGACGGGGGTGCGGGGGGATGTCCTCATTAATGTGACAAGAAAAATGAATCACAAAGCAAAGAGCCCCTCTGTTGAAAGACTGATTGAAATTTCACTGAGGAATGCTTAACAGTGTAAAAGATGATCTCGTTGGTCAAATGGAAATATTTCAACACTTGTTATAATGCAGAGAAGAGAGCACAGTAATGACTGCTGCAGACATAACCACACTGGATTCAAGGGCTACTGCCTTGCAGCCATTGTTCCAGCTGCGGCAGCTTTTATTTGTTATGCTCCATTAACTGCTTTTGGAATTGCATAACGTTACACAAATACCTCTGAGATACAGTCTGATATCTGCCTGCAAGAAGATGACTTCTTGAAATTAGCTCAGCAGAATGATTTGTTCACACAATTATATAAAAAGTGGTATGAATTAGGGATGCACAATATTATCGGCATGGTATCGGCATTAGTTAATATTTGCAATAAGGTTAAATATCGGACATTGGCCATTCCATCAAAATAACGTACGGATATAAAAGGTGCTGTCTCTCTATATATATATATATATATATATGTGTGTGTGTGTGTGTGTGTGTGTAAAGCCCCATTCGCACACGATTAGTTTTACCTAGGGACCACATGCTATTTGTAATAATTATAGAGATTGTCTGTGTTGTTAATCCCGTGTGAATCGACCATGTCTGTAATTTGTAAAGTAAAAATTCCCCCGCAAATTACCTACTATATTTTGTTGAACTTCGAGGTCCAGTGATAATACTGCAAATAGTCATCTCTGTGATTTGGACAGAAATGGGTGGGATCCAATACGTAGTCAAGCGGTTTTTGTTTTCTAACCAATACAATTTGGAAAAATATAGAACATGGCTATTTTAAATGAACGCGTTGCTCGCTTCGGCCTTTGTAGATGCTGCTACTTCCTTCACTGCAGATGACAGCAGGTGTGGAGATGCGCGCATCCGGTCAGCTGCTCGATCCATCCATTATTTACCCGCTTCTTCCTTTTTGGGTAGCGGGGGTTGCTGGTACCCATGTCCAGCCATCACTGTGCGAGAGGCCGGGTACACCCTGGACAGGTCGCAAGTCCATTTCAACCGGCAGGTCAGCGGAGGCGCGCGGCCAGAGACAGCTTGTCCATCTGAGTTTAACGCGACTTGTTTTACCTCTTTCAAGCGGCCGGTCGGACCTGCCTCCTCCTCAACAAATAGATTAACACAATTTTATAATGTGCATTCTTATTTTGTTTTATTTGTTTTGTATGACTAGTAAAACCGCATCAAAGCCTGAGACCGGCCCAGCCCGCACATCAAGCACATTATGGACCGGCCCAGTCCGAATCTGGGTCGGGCTCTGGGTTGACAGCTCTAAAATACACAGCGCGTTAAGATCATATCTGGAAGATGTCCGTAAAGTTCAACTAAATCTCTGGCTTTGGTTATCCCGTGCGAATGCGTCACATAAAAAGCAGACATTGAGGAGTAATTTATTTATTACATGTGGTCCCTAGGTAAAACCAGAGCCGTATAAAGAGAGTTTCGACACTCCCATAGACTTGTATAAAAAGAATGGAATGGGGATGTCACGTGGGTCATGCAACCACTAATAGTTCCAAACAGCAGTGGTTCCAGTATTGAACGTAGTTCATTCTCGGTGTTTCAGAAGTGTTTTCGCCGGTAAGTTGATGAAAATACACTTTATGGCCATTGTTAAGCATTAGCTGACTGTTCTGTACCACAATTTATCAACATTAATACTTCATGTCGTCCCCCCCGCGCGTGTAATGTCGGCGTCATTATGTGCTCGTGTGCGAGATATTTTTTTTCATTATGACGCTGTTGACCTTCAAACAGAGGTTAAAAGCGTGTTAGGAATTTTTTTTTGTCTCCAAACCGTATGTGTCATTTTTCACCACTTATTGTCTGTCCAAACAGGTCTCTCTTGTAAATGAGTCTTCGAGGCTCAATGCGACTTATCTGTTTAAATATAGGTTGAATGAATGAATGAATGTCGCCAGTTTTAGTTAAACATGTTAACTTGCTAGTTGTATTTTAACTGCAGCTAGCTCAGTGCCAACATGATGGGCTTAAACGAGTCTATTTCTGTCTAATTCAGCGTTTTAAAACATACATTACAGCTTAAATTTTGAAAATTGATAATTTTCTAATTTTTGTGGTAATTCCAGTTACTGAACTGTCTCAACTAGAAAATATTTTGCCTTATTTTCTGCGTGATTGACGCGGTTACTTTAGTTCAAGTTATAGATCCTTCGTCAAAGACTGCAGCATAAATTGTGACATCATCATTAAAGAAAAACGTGATTGTGGAGATGAGTAATTTTAAAAAAATGTTTTCCAGGTAAACCGGCAGTTCACTGAAGTCTCTCCTTTCAGGGTGTCATTTTGCTTAATTGAACTTGAGCATCCATCACAGATGTTGGAATGTCTGAGGACTTTATTAACTACGTATCCAGTAAGATGGTGCAGAATACAGGTTTCACTGTTGGTGAAATCAGAAGTAGCTGTGTTTCCAATCAGCTGCTCCACACTCAGGCCAGGACTGGAAAATGTCTCTGTAATGTCCAGGAACTCTGCCAGAAGACTGCCATCATCCTCCTGATAGCTTCTGGATTTAACTGTCATAAGAAACTGCCCAACTGAGTGAGTGCCTGGTGAAACTCCACTGGTGTTGGGACAGGATTCTTTTGCCTTATGCAGCTGAACAAGTTTTCAAGACAGTCCTGAGTAAACCTGCCTGTCAGCACAAACATGTGTCCATGGTTTCAAGCATGTCTTTTTGAATACATACAATTGTAGATGTTACCATCACAATTCCTGTTTGCACTGGTTTCCTGTGGATGTGCTGGTTGACTTCAAAGGGAGCTGCTGTGAATGATGCCAAGGACGGACCCTCATTCGAACTTGAGCACATTTCAACTTTGTCCAAATTTGATCAGATCCAGTTTATTGGTGCAGATGTAATTAATAAACAGTATAAATAAAAGTACTTTATTAAAGCTTGTTTTACATTTTAAATATTTTATAATAAATTGTTTGGTAATTTAATTTTGCACAATTAACACTTATTTTGTCATCTATTATGATTTTAACTAGAAATAGTCTAATTTAAATTAACATTTTAATCAATGAATTACAATTTTACAATAGTTGTCAGGCTACAAGCACAATCTACTTGGTTATCCAGGTACTCGGTTGTCATAAAAAAATAAAAATAAAAAAAGACAAATAGAACAATTATATCTTGTACAGAAGTGAAGAATTCATCCAGATGATCTAAGGTAAGCTGGGGCAGATCTGAACTGCTGCATGGAGGACAAGGTGGAGCATTCTCATGCAGAGAACAACAGAAATAGCTTTATAATAGGCGTTACTCTGTTTTTTTGTTTTTTTACGTGTGTAACGTTATTATAAAGTACTGTTGACATGGCTATACTGATCAATGTATTGCATAGACATTTTCTTTTCTAACAAATATGTGTTTGCAGTCTCGTTTCCCTCTACAATTGAATGATAAATGTATCTGTCGCATGTAAAAATGCTTTGATAAAATGCATAGTCTGTGAAATAATCAGTAATCAGTTACGTAATCAGTTCGTTACTGCTCAATAATTACCGAAAGTTGCCGGGCAAAGTAAGAAAAGTCGATTTTTGTGTTATGTTGCGTCAGTAGCTGCTCAAACTGACTGACAACGAAGAGCTGTTTGGAACTATTGAGAGCTACATGAACCATGTGACCGCCTATCAGCTAGTTCAAAGTGTGTCGCAACTCTCTCTTTATGGCGCTGGGTCAAACTAATGTCATGAGAATAGGGCTTTAGACTGTTTTTGTATGACAACCCAGTGACAAGGATGCCTGCAGCGCCAGCACAACGCTATGACGTCACACGTGCCTACCTGATCTGATCACAGCGGAGAGGAAGAAGTGAAAATGTCAGCAGTGTGGAGGTTTTTTAAAAGTGTCGGAAACTGATAGCAGAACTGCTATTTGCAATGATTGCACAGCGTCAGTCACGCGAGGAGGAGCGGAAACAAAATCCTACAACACTTTGAACCTAATTAACCATCTCAAGAAGTATTGAAGAGAGTAAATGTCATGAATAAATTTGACATTAAACATAATCCAAGTTGAAGTGTTACATCATTTTCAGCCCTCTTTTTTGGCCTTTGCAAAGACCATGCAAAACATTGTTGTATTTCAATTCCACAGCAGAGAAAGCTATGTAGTCTCTGTAAGTAGGTCTAAGAATAAAAATATCGGTATTGGCATATCGGATATCAATCTAAAATCCAATATCGTGCATCTGTAGTGTTAATATACAAATTAAATACATATTTTTCCTAAGACATTGGTCACAAAGAGCTAGGTCTGTCGCAATAAATCAATTAATCAATTAATCACACGATAAATGAAAATTATGAACCTCATTTTCATTTATCAGCTTTATCGTTTCTTCGTGTCTCTTTCTACTGAAGACATTGGATGACAAAAAGCTCAACTCCGGTGCTCTTCACCGACCCCTCACTTTCTCTTTAAAATCCATTTTAACCATCCAAAATTGAGTTTTTGGATCGTTAAAAGCAGCTAAGCTGAGAAGCAAAGCTACGAGCTAAGCTAACAGGCCGACCTCAGGGAAAAAACCTCCGTCTTGTCGAAGCTCCAAAATTCACGGTTGAAACCCATGCTTTTGTCTAAAAAGTTGTTTTTCTCTGCAAAAAGAAGCGGAGAACTTGTTTACTGATTTTATATTAAAAGCTTTGTGTGAAACATGCTTCGCTAAAGAGCTCAAACCACACCGAGCATCTGCCATTTTGAGAACCGAAGAGAGACAGCCCATGTCAAGTCAAGGGGCTTACCTCCCATTTTCCTTAAAGTGACACGCTGCTCACTCCTTCACTATCTATCCTTCGGTTCAAACAGTCTTATACTGCCATCCGGTGGTTGAAAAAAGTTACTACACGCAAAACAAATCCAACATTTCTTTTTAAACAATATTATCGTTTATTGCAATAATTTCTGAGACAATTAATCGTCCAGCAAAATTTGTTATCATGACAGGCCTACAAAGAGCTTTAAGCTTTGAATTGTTATTCAACAAAAAAGGCCATGATTCAGTAAAACAGATGTGTTTCAATACCATTTCCACATTTAGCATTTACAAACCGGATTCCAAAAAAGTTGAGACACTAAACAAATTGTGAATAAAAACTGAATGTAATGATGTAGAGATGGCAAATGTCAATATTTTATTTGTAATATAACATAGATGACAGATCAAAAGTTTAATCTGAGTAAATGTAACATTTTAAAGGAAAAATATGTTGATTCAAAATTTCACAGTGTCAACAAACCCAAAAAAGTTGGGACAAGTAGCAATAAGTGACTGGAAAAATGAAATTGAGCATATAACGAACAGCTGGAAGACCAATTAACACTAATTAGGTCAACTGACAACATGATTGGGTATAAAAAGAACTTCTCAGAGTGTCAGTGTCTCTCAGAAGCCAAGATGGTAAGAGGATCACCAATTCCACCATTGTTGCGCAGAAAGACAGTGCAGCGATACCAGAATGGTGTTACCAAGCGTAAAATAGCAAAGACTTTTAAGTTATCATCATCAACCGTGCATAACATCATCAAAAGATTCAGAGAATCTGGAACAATCGCTGTGCGTAAGGGTCAAGGCTGTAAAACTTTACTGGATGCTCATGATCTCTGGGCCCTTAAACATTACTGTACCTCAAACAGGAATGCCACTGTCAAGGAAATAACAGAATGGGCTCAGGAATACTTCCAGAAAGCATTGTCAGTGAACACAATCCACCGTGCCATCCGCCGTTGCCAGCTGAAACTCTACAGTGCAAAGAGGAAGCCATTTCTAAGCAAGCTCCACAAGCTCAGACGTTTGCACTGGGCCAGGGGTCATTTAAAATGGAGTGTGGCAAAATGGAAGACTGTTCTGTGGTCAGATGAGTCACGATTTGAAGTTCTTTATGGAACACTGGGACGCCATGTCATCCGGACCAGAGAGGACAAGGATAGCCCAAGTTGTTATCAACGCTCCGTTCAGAAGTCTGCATCACTGATGGTATGGGGTTGCATGAGCGCTTGTGGCATGGGCAGCTTGCATGTCTGGAAAGGCACCATTAATGCAGAGAACTATGTTCAGGTTCTAGAACAACATATGCTCCCATCTAGACGTCATCTCTTTCAGGGAAGAACCTGCATTTTTCAACACGATAATGCCAGACCACATTCTGCAGCAATCACAACATCATGGCTACGTAGGAGAAGGATCCGGGTACTGAAATGGCCAGCCTGCAGTCCAGATCTTTCACCTATAGAGAACATTTGGCGCATCACTAAGAGGAAGGTGCGACAAAGAAGGCCCAAGACGATTGAACAGTTAGAGGCCTGTATTAGACATAAATGAGGGAGCATTCCTATTTCTAAACTTGAGAAACTGGTCTCCTCTGTCCCCAGACGTCTGTTGAGTGTTGTAAGAAGAAGGGGGGATGCCACACAGTGGTAAAAATGGACTTGTCCCAACTTTTTTGGGATTTGTTGACGCCATGAAATTTGGAAACAACCGATTTTTCCCTTAAAATGATACATTCTCTCAGTTTAAACTTTTGATCTGTGATTTGTGTTCTATTCTGAATAAAATATTAGATGTTGGCACCTCCACATCATTGCATTCAGTTTTTTATTCACAATTTGTTTAGTGTCCCAACTTTTTTGGAATCCGGTTTGTAGTTACCCAAGCGCTGTGATTTTGTAATTAGTGCTACAAAAGATCCGAGAACTGTAACACAAACCACGACTGTCGCTTACAGCCAAAGTTTCACTTCTGCTAAAGAAACCCCAATGACCTGAGCTCCCTGTTCAGATGTGCTGGAAATAACTATACTACTAACGGCAATAAATTATCAGATTTCTTTCTCCCATTAAAATCAAATAATGTTTTTTTTTTTTTTACAAACAAGATTTGTAACATTTACAGTCGCTTCATTAGCTTGTTTTTAATTCCTCATTACTTCATTCAAACATGCCTACGACTGTCACAGAGAGAACAACTGTGCACGTTTTCCCGTGTAAAAGTTTAAAGAGTGTATTGAAGGAGATAGCCGTTTTATTTTACAGAGTTTGACCACAGTATGGTGATCAACATGAAGCAAATGATCTTTTATAATTTAACAGCACACAACTCTCCATTTAGAGTTAGAGATTTTACACAACACAATAACATTTAGCCAACAGATTTCATTGCCAGCCAACAGGCAGACTGCATTTTATTAAACAAAATGAAACTGAATGGGAAATATTAAGGCTATTGATAAATGGACAGACACAGAGTAGGTCTGTGCTGAAGATCAAGGACTTTTATTCAGTTTTTCCAATTCATTCTGCTCAGACACCGTGAAGAAAATGACAAAGGGCAGAAGCTAATTACTGGAGGTTAAATCATGATAGAGAAAAGTTTGGAGTTTTCATTGACAGTCTGTCAGATTCCTTCTAAATGATGCTGATGCTGTCCACTAATCAAAGAATAATGTGCCTCTGAAGATTTTACAAATACGGTTTGAATGTGTGTGAAAGAGTGCATGCAGCTTGTAGCATAAAACACTGAATGCTTAGAGGTAAAATCAATAACTTTTCAAATATTATTTACTGTTAATGAATATTGTCACACCTGTTATATACATGTAAAACAAAATGCTTATTGACATGGATGGAAAATAATTGAAAACATTTTAATAGTTCTCCACTTGGAGATTTTAAATATTTGTACTTTATGAGTGTATTATAGTTTTTACAATGTCAGATTTTGTGTTGCGTCTAATATACCGTTGTTATCATTTAGTATAGTCTGCTGTAGCTTGGTGGTCATCGCTGCCGTTTTGTAATCCTGAAGGTTTGAGTCCAGGAAGAAGGAAAACCAGCGTAAAACAATTGCTAAATGTTTCTGTTCAGTGTCCTGAGACGACTTCTGTTGGGACTTGGTGCTATATAAATAAACTCAAATGAAATTAAATCTTTCATGTGAATTTGCTCACTGTGGTGACCCCTGCAGAAAGGAGCAGCCAAAAACGACCACAAATCATAATTTCGTTTATAGCCTTATCTACTAATTTTTGAAGATGTGGCTTCAAATAGATAGATAAAAGAAGATAAAACAAAACATGAATAATTCTTATTTTAAACATCTGACAGGATTTCCTTGACAAACGCCCAAATAATCTATCATCTCAGTAAAAAGAAATTCCACAAGAAATGTTTTTTCCTTCTTCCCTCTCATTATTATATTGATGACTCCACTAACAAAGCAGGTCTATGCATCTTTAAAAATTAAATAAGACATGAAAAAAAACCTCAAAGCTGTGAAGTAGATTGAAGCATATCACAGTTTTTGTTTGTTCCTTACCAAATGTAGGACAGCATAAGCAGCAGGGGACAGATGATGACAACTTGAAGCACCTGCCAGTCGCGACAGAGGTAGGCTACCCCGGGCATGAGGAGCTGACCTCCTAAAACCATGAAACTGGCCACCATGGTCATGGAAAACCGCCATCCTGGCAGGCACAGCTCAATCCCTGGCAGACAAAAACAAAGTCAAGCAAAACGTGAGAACTCCAATAAGCACTTGTTGGCATTCAGAGTGAGTCAAGTTATCGAAGCTCAAGTGTTTTTTAGGGATTAAGCATCTCAATATTCAAACCGTATAAACTTCAATTTAGAACTGCCAGATAGGCCTGTAGCAATAAACAATAAATCAATTAATCACATGATAAATGAAAACTATTGACCTCATTTTCATTTATCGGCTTTATCGTTTCTTCGTGTCTCTCTTTCTACTGAAAACACTGGATGACAAAAAGCTCAACTCCGGTGCTCTTCACTGACCTTTTTTCTCTTTCCACCTTAAAATCCATTTTAACAGTCTAAAATCGTGTTTTTGGATCGTTAAAATCAGCTAAGCTAAGAAGCTAGGCTACAAGATAAGCTGACAGGTCGACCTCAGGAAAAAACTTCTGTCTTGTCGAAGCTCTAAAATTCATGGTTGAAACCCGTGCCTTTGTGTAAAAAGTTGTTTTTCTCTGCAAAAAGAAGCTGAGAACTTGTTTACTGATTTTTTATTAAAAGTTTTGTGTGAAAATTGCTATGCTAAAGAGCTCAAACCACACCGAGCGTGCACCATTTTGAGAACCGAAAAACTGGAAGGAGAGACAGCCCATGTCACATCAAGGGGCCTCCCTCCCATTTTTCTTAAAGAGACACGCTGCTGGCTCCCTCACTATTCATCCTTCTGTTCAAACAGATTATGCTGCCATCCAGTGGTCAAAAAAGGTACTAAACTCAAAACAAATTAAACATTTCTTCTTAAATTTGACAATAATTACACATTATTGTCAAATTTCAAACAATATTATCATTTATCACAATCATTTCTGAGACAATTAATCGCCCAGCAAAATTTGTTATTGTGACAGGCCAACTGCCAGATGCACAAATCACGAGAAGTTCATGTAATGAAACAGTCAAAATCAGCACACCAGATAATAAATAACATTCCAATAATATTGATTCTGAAGTGAAAACACCCAGATCGAATAATCAGCTGTTTCCTGTGTTTCCTCAGATGTAAAGTAAGGATTGGACATGCAGTACCCTATTATTCTTTATAAAGAAAACAAATATGATTCTCCAACCAACAAGACAGAACTCACTTGAAAAGGTGAGGCAGACAGGTAAGGACAAGGCTCCTTATTTTTGCTTTCCACACAGTTGGGATTCTTTTTTTTCTGATGCAGCACAAGAATCTATGACAATCACTATGCTCCATATTATGACACTTGCTATACTATATATATATATATATATATATATATATATATATATATATAG